AAAGAATTTCAAAAAGAAAAGAAAAGAATTAGAAAAGAACTTTCAGAAAGAATACAAACATGATCATTTGCATATGCATCAAACATTTCCTGTGCATTGCATCTTATGCATTTATGCATAGATTAAACAGTTTATTTATTATTGCGTGTCTGACTAGCCAAGAAAAGAAAAAATAGAAGCCCATGAGAATAGAGAAGATGAGAAAACAGAAGCCCATGAGAATAGAGAAGATGAGAAAATAGAAGCCCATGAAAACAAAAAAGAAAGAAAATAGAAACCCATGAGAATAGAGAAGAAAAGAAAATAGAAGCCTACGAGAATAGAAAAGAAATTAGAGATATACAAGAAAAGAACAGAAATTTAATACATGTAAGAAAAGAACAGAAATTAGAAATATGACAAATAGCAAGAAAACTTAGTGATTTGTTGAGTAAAGAAAGAAACAGAAAGTTATAATCTAGCAGAGAAGAGAAGTAAAATGATAAAGAGTAGCACAGGCCTAGAAGGATTTATAAAGGTTTGAGAAAAATAGAAGACTACTAAGTAGTACGCCTGAGAATAAACAGAGAAAGCAAGCAGAAATTTAGAAGCAGTACTGCGAAAACGGGGGCAACAGAGTAAGAGCATAATTAGATTTGGTTTACTTACTGAGCATTTATAGCTCACCCCATAGCATTCCTTATTTTTGCAGGTATTAAATTGTAGTGGTCAGGAGACGTCAAGCTGGCGAGAGGATTGCATACACTGTCTCAGTGAAGAATTTAATGTGGATTTATATATGTGAGAAATAATCTTTGTGTAATAGTATGTTATAACTGGATTAAAGATGAAAATTTTAGACGAACACCCTTTTTTAAACTAGCAATTCTCTGGATTCTCTCTATAGGATACTCAGTGAATACTTGCCTAGTGAGACATTACATAAGACGTATATCACTAGGGCATTAGCATGGATAAAAGGTTGGTGAACTGTTTACCGAATATGACCGATTACGATGAATCACATGGACATTTAGAATGTGGTCAATGATACATCGCAAGATCGTATTAATGTACCACTAATCTTTAGACTTGAGACATCACAATTGGACTCGACATAGGATGCAAATGATTCATATGGTGTATATACACGAGACCAGTCATGTTTTGTGTAAGAAGCTGGTTGGTCATATGTTATTCATGTTCGAGGACAAGTGGTGGTTAATATGTGATCCATTGACTTGAAATAGTTTGGTCCTGAGTTCCCAAACGAAAGTCAATAAGCATTGGAAAAATGAAATCTCTGGCGAGAGTACAAAATAGTCATATGAAAAAGGAGTTTCATGATGACATGTTCCATTGTATTGATTGACAATTCGAATAAAGATTAAGTTAAGGGTTTTGACATACCATGAACCTAACTTAACGGGATTAGACGACGGAGTGATTTTACTACATAAAACGTACGATCGGGAAAAAAAAAAGGTTCATTGGAGTTTAACTTCATTGTAGCTTAGGGGTTATGGAGCATTGCTAGATGCCTACCATGATCCATGGGAGTTTTGGTTATAAAGAGTTATGACGAAACATATCGGATTGCGACATTGAGCGTACGGCTAGGTTACTATGAACCTAAGTGGTCACACCTAAAAACCAAGTATGAGAAGAAAGAGTAATACATATCGTTAAAGGTTAACGATGTTCAGATGTAAATGTGTGCATCCGAATTTATGTATTGGTGAGAAATGATTACTCATGGGAAGCTAACACTTACCAAGGGTAATAAGGTAATTTGGTCATTATTGGATTAGATTCAATGATGGACTAAAATATATTATTGAATTAGATTCAATAATGGGTTAAATATTAAACGGGATTATTTTATATGTCTTGATTATAAATTTGTTTAAATCAAGGATTTAATATTAAAGAGTTAATATTAAATTGAAATTGTTTCAAAGACTTAGGATCAATAATGATTTAATATTAAGAGTTAATATTAAATTGAAATTGTTTCAAGGACTTAGGATCAATAATGATTTAATATTAAGAGTTAATATTAAATTGAAATTATTTCAAGGACTTGAAAATAATATTGAATTTGTATTAACTGTTAATATATGATTCATATTAATTCAAGGACTTGAGAACAATTTCAAATTATAGTAAAATGGTCCTTGTATATAAATAAGTGATATTCCCAAATTTAATCTAATTTTTCATTCGGATTGAAAATCTCTCTCTTGAGCTCTCATGGCCGGCTCTCTTTTCTTCATCTTGGGGTGGACTTTACTTTGAGGATTTTCATCAAATTTGTTGAAGATCTTGAACTCCTTTTCAAGTTACAAGAGTTGTAAAGCAAAAAAGGTAACAATTTCACCATTTTAGTTTCAATAACATGTCATATGACCTTATACCATGTTTTACACCAATTTTACCCTTTCTAAGCATGTATTCTTACAACGATGTCCTCATAAATCTCGGGGATTACATCCCTGAGAACCGCAGAGCCCATTGGAGAGTCGAACATGTGATCAATGCTGTGGCTACTCGACGAAGACATGGTGAAAGCTCACCTCTAGGTACATGAAATAGAAGCGAACATGTGTCAGAGCTCGAAAATTCGGCGACTTATCCACACTTTGCTTTCAGTTCAGGCACCCAACGTAGCTCGCACCAGACAACGAACACAAGCGAGCTACCAGGATTCTGACAACCGCCACTGTAAACCCTCATTAAACTTAGAACCACCGGAAACATACTCAAAAAACCCTAACAAAGCCCTAAAAAAAACTCAATGTGGCCGAGTCAATGGCCACCCTCAACCGCAAAAGGTATAAAAACAAGTAAAGGAAGAGAAAGAAGCCTTATTGAAGTGTGAAGATGGAAGAAAGTCGTTGGAAAAGTGCCATCAAAATGAAAAAGCAGCGACAAAATAAACAAAGAAATCTGAAAACTTTTGCAAAGTGTGTAGAAGTTCTGACGAGGTTGCTCGCTTTTATAGTGGTTTGCATGGGAGACAAAAGGGCAGGATTCGATCGTAGCCGTCGATCTACAATGAATCTTGGCCCTCCATTCGTCGAGCAATCCTGGTCATTGGATGTGGCCACATGTCAATCATCTACGAGGGTCAATCAACCGTCAGACTGCCACAATCATAATCGTCACCACACATCGCCTCGACTTCGTGCATGGACAGCTGCAGTCACCCACGCACGACGAAAAGTAATTGCCAAAGGCTACTGCATTTAATGCCACATGACCACGTGGAAGTTACATATATGCCCTTTATTTCAAATTCCGAGTTTGTCAAGAATATCGTAGCAGAGGAAAAGCCAAGTGTTGAGTACATCGACCGGAGATGAGTCCGATTCATGAAGCTCGGCCAGATCTGCATTCATCACACAACCGACGAAGTCCGAGCTTGATATCAAATCGAGCAATAGTCTTCGAAGCTCGAAACGAGCATCGAACACTAGGGGGAAGATATTGTGTGTGATTTTTCCATCAAGCTCGGAGAATAGCGAGGTTATAACTCGATCCATAATCGGTTCGACTCAATCGATTGTTTGACCAAGCATAAGCTCGTCAAGATGTAGCTCGACCTAGCACAAGCTAGTCGCGACCAATCCCTACAATTGTTCAACCAACTCACAAATAACCTCAGATCCTAGATATCTTGGAACGGATTAGATCAACAACAATCTTGGCGCAATCTCAACACTCAATTGCGAGAATATCGGAGTTGCATTTCAATCTTAATTGTAATCCCTTTATTTTCGCTATTTCCTTTGTACAAAATCTATATATAAACCCCTCCACTGATGAAAAAGGGGTTAGCAAATTGTTCTAGGATTATTATTGTAAACTCTTACAGCAAATACAAAAACAGTGGATGTAGGTTCAAGAGTATAACTTGCTGAACCACTTTAAAAACTCATTATGTCATTTACTTAATTGATCTTGATTCATTACATTACTGGTTACCCGTAACTACGCACACATCAATTTCGATTCCATCAAGGTCAATCGAATCGTTCTAGTTGGTGCAAAATCTAGTATCAACAAGACTAAACCTTTAAGATATTTTTTTTGTATTTTAAATTAATGATAAATTTGACTTTTCTAGTTTTGTTATCAATCAATTAATAGAATATTTTACTTATTTATTTTTTGTTAACTTTTTAAATTAATAGTAAAATTATCCTTCCAGCTTAGTTGACCGTCAATTAATAAAATAAAGACGATTTTTTTAAATTAATTTCTTAAAACTTTTGGGGAAAGATTATTGAATTACGTTATTATAACATTAAATTTGTCACACAAATTCTTAGCATTAATCAGTAATTATGAATTTATATAACAAATTTATGTCGAAATCAATAGTCATAATTTTGTGCAATAAATTTATGTCAAAAATATTTTTGTTAAAAATTAACATTACTGACCCTTATTTAAAACCCAAATTTACCCTATATTTTAATTTTTTAGAACAACCATATATAACTTTTTGTGCATTTGTTCTCAAATGTATAAATCATTTTTTTCATAAATTTATCTTTATTAAATTGATATAAGAAGCATATACCCTGCAATATAAATTTACAGATCTTAAATTTCCTCTACCTAAATTAAGGGTGTTAAAAGTTCAAAAAGAAGATTACAAACTATAATACAAACATTAATTATAGCACATAACATTGTAACTTATTTGGTCTTTTAAGTTTATAGGGTATTTAATAAACTCTGATGATTAGTTAAGGTGCACACAAACTAGTCAAGACACCCCAATTACAAAACAAAACAAAAAAAAAAAAAGATATATATATATATATATATATAATTATAATTATAGTACACATAAATGTTAAACTTTTCTCCGGTAAATTAATAGGAAGAGTAGTGCTTTATTTATATAAAACTTATTAGACATTCCCATATGCTCACATTCATTTATTTATATACATATACATAAAAAGGTCACAAGATACAAAGAAATTATATTATTAGATATTCTGCCTAATTTTATGATATCTTATTTGTGAGATCCAATTCACCATGTTGCACTCGCAGTCCTCTTCATTCTCCTCAACTTTTCACCCTTCTTTCTTGCCATTGTTGACCTCTTCACCCTTTTCAAAATCTATAACCATGAGAGCATGATACCCAAATAATACAAATATAATAAAAATAACACAAAAATATTTAAATGTCATCATAATATATTAAAATTAAATACTGATTATTACCTCTTGCAATCGCTTTTCCTCATATTCCTTCTATTAATACAAAGACAAAACAAGAGAAAAATAAGCATGAATAATGAATTAGTAGCCATAATTTAAGATAAATAAAAAGTTCATTAATCTTACCACAATTTGTTTCATCTTTTCATTCTCTTCTCTAAGTTGATTCAACTCTAGTTCCAACTCTACTGTATACGCCTGGAATAGAATAATAATAAAATATTTCAGAGCTCAGTGGCCGAACCCAAAAAATTATGTTTGGGATCAAAATTTAATGTTTTATGAGGCAGAACTGTGCTGTGTTGTTAAGTTTTTTCTGTGCTACCATAATTATATACATTTATGTTAGATTTGTTGAACAAAGATAAAGATGAAACCTGTTTCCTTGCGCGAGATCGTGCAGCAGACTCTCGATTCTTGATCATCCTCCGTTGCCTCCGCTCGACGACAACCTCCGGCGGACCATCAATGATCCTCTTCTTATTGCTCTTCAAACCACCAGTCTCCATTCCCATGCCATGACTCTTCTCATTTTCACCATTACTGCATAAGTCTCCCACCATGCCCTTAGTTGGTGTGTAAATTGGGTAGGTTGTATAACCATTGATTAACAAATTACTCCCCATATTTTGGTGAGCAGAAAACCCTAATGCCATCATTTGCCCCATACCCAAACTCGCATCCAAACACGCGTTGCTGCTTTGCAACGTCGGCGCTACCACCATTTTCGGTTGATGATGATCAACACTAGGCCTGACTGCTGCAACAGCTTCTTGCACAACTCCTGCTTTGATCAAAAACTCCTCCAATGTCATTTCTCCGAAGGTTTGCTGGCGCTGAGGCGGTTCATGATCAGTAAGTCTGTCGATTTTTAGATGCGATGTATCGTCCTTTTGGATCTCCGACCATACTTCCTCTACAGTTTTCTTGCAAAGTTCAATAGGGATGGAAAAAGAATTTTGGCGGGTCAATGTTGTTTGGTTTTCGATTAGCATTTTATCGTTATTGTTGTTGTTGTCATTTGGTTCGGTTTGGCTGGGTTGTGAAGTGACTTGATTATTGTCTTCGACGTTCCATAAGTTGGTGAGGAATTCATCCATGTTCATGGAACCGAAACTCTTGCCACTTTTGAGTTGAATTTCGTCGAGAGTAAGTGAGAAGATGGAGGAGTTTTGTTTGTTCAATGGTGATGCAGAACCGTCGTCGTTGAGGAGTTCTTCATGCTGTGATTGCTGTGGTTCATGCTGTACTGGCTGTAGTTGGTCAACCCCGTATGCAATTGGTGTTGATTCAGCCAGTGCCATTATCTTTAACAAAGAGAAGGATGTGCACTTCTGTAAATTGAGAAGGAGATGTCAATTACAGATACTTGAGATGAAACTAGACAATAATCTGAAAGCAAAAATTGCATCTACTATAAACAAAATTATAAGTATCAGTTGCATAATTTTTTGGTATTTTTTCATCCAAATGTGTCTCTAAGTACCATCTATATAGTTTCATTAAGAAAAATGAGACAAATCAAAATCAATTAACACTCAATTTTTTTTTCCAAATAATCAATCAAAATTTTGTCTTTACCCAACAACCTATTATGATCATAAAATTAAAACATGAATGCTAGTTATATAATAATATAATGCTTTATTCACTATAATAAATAAAGGACGACATATCCAGAGGATACAGAAGGCCCGTAACATGGTCATTCTTGAATGGATCACGAGTTCAAATCTTAGTAAAGCCCACAATCTAAAGACAACATATCTCTTAAAAGGACCAAAATCCCCTAAAAAACCAAGTGTATGAAAGTTAATTTCAAATTTGTATAACTACAGTAATTTCATAGTTATATACATAATATATATTTGTATTCTGCTCTTGAAAATCATTAACATTAGAATTTTTTTTCTCTGCACCTCAACTAGTCCCCAAAACCTTAAAGTTAACCGTTAGATAAACTTTGAGTGACTATCCCTTATTAGTAGTCAGTAAGCCTCCAGTAATTACCTCTTCTTAGTAGTTGTAGAAATTCAAATTCATGATTTCTTGAGTAATATACCAAAATCTCTTGAGTAGTATATCAAGAGTTTAAGCAAATCATCAAACTAGCCAAAGGTAGTTAAATTAGTAGTCGGTAATGCTCCAGTAGCTACCCCTTATTAGTAATAGCAGGGATTCAAACTTTAATAGTAGAGATTCAAACTCAGGATTTTGAGTAGTATACGCAAGAGTCCTAAGCAAATCATCAAACCAGCCAAAGGCAGTTAAATTAGCAAATTGAGGTCTGGGAAATAGAAGTGTATCGGTTTGTGTGGCTTTGGGCAAGTGTTGGAACTCCGCACTTTTTAATAAAATTAAGAGGCGTTTATGGTATTTACTTTGTAATTGAACAATGAAACAAGGAAATTGATGCAAATCCGATTGACAAAGATGAAGTTAAACCATTTGCATGCATCAATCCAGTAACAAGAAAAAGAGAAAACCGTAAAAAATAAAATAAAATACACAATCTGATAAACAAAAACATACGGCGGCTTTTTTTTTTTTTTTTTCTTTTTTCTCTAAATAAATTATCTTACACCAGAGTTCTCAAATTAAACAAAATAAACTATTTTATTATACGGAAAAATCCATGACATGCAAACTGCAAAACCACCGTATTACAAAAATAATAGACACATGCACGTAAAGAAAATAAAAAATCGGATTTCAGTTTGAGTAAGATCGGAAATATACAGAATTATTACAAGAATCAGCTGGTTTCTGACAAACTTAAAGATGAAACATGCAAAAATAAATTAAGATTAAGGTAGGAAGAAGAGAGACGACGGAGATAATTTAAATATTTACCTGAAAATGAGAATGTGATAGCTTCAAAATGAGAGAATCGTAGTGGAGAGCGGAGGAAACGAAGAAATGAAAAGGTGGATTCTGAAGACCACTGTAGGAGTTTCAGTGGTCTGATTTTCTGAATAATGGTTACTGTAACTGCCATTGTTGCCACTTTAATACAGTGGTTTTTTGTGGTGCCCACAATCTCTTCTGTCTTGACACGTTTCTGCCACATGCCACTTTCTTTCTGTCTGTTTTATTTATCTTTTTTTCTTGCTTGGGAGAGTCAACTCTAGCCTCTAGGTGCATGCATCTCACTCTTACCGTTCGATTTCAATACATACATCTGGATATTTTCATCATTATGCATAAAGTCTATACAAATATGCACTTCCTTTAAATATTATTTACCCTTTGATATTAGGGGTAAAATTATCATTTACCCTTTTTAGATTATTACTTATTTTGGATTTATAAAAGTCGTTTAAGGTATAACAAAAATCTTATTGTAATTATAGTAATTAAAATAAAACTCTTTTTGTTATTAAGTTTTTTATGATAGAGGGACAATATAATAAATATTTATTATCTCATCATGTTATAAATTTTAACCGTCATCTATCATCTCACCAAGGGTTGAGATATTACCCTTTTATTTTCTGAAAAATTATAAAACCTTTATTTTCTGAAAAAGTATAAAAAAGTCCTCTCATAAAAAAATAGATTTTTTTTTTTAAATTTGTGGATGTGTTTAAATTAGAAAACAGATAATAAAAACTTTTTACAGATTCTCAACTTGTAAGAGGACACAAGGTTTTGAAAATAACACTTAGAAGATACAAACTTCATAAACAACATTTAAAAGACACTTAATGATGTTGGATTACACTATTTAATTGTATAACTGAAAAATAAATAAACACCTGTAAAATTTAGGGTTTGGATAAATATAGTCTTCTTACTAATTCTAATTCTTCAAATATCAGGATTTGTATAACCATAAAACAATGTGACTTACCATTTATGCCCTTAATGAAATAACTAAGAACTTTTTCTTTAATATATACTAAACTGTAATAGATTGGATAGTCAAATAACATAACATACCCCTTCTAAAGCGTTTAATCACCTAATATGTCGACAAAATCTTACAATAACACCTCCTTCAAATAAGGAATCGTAGTACTTTGGTTGAGTTTGTAGATTTGATTAAATAGTTTTGTTTAAGAGTTTAAGGATTTGTGAATGAGTGTCCCAAAAAATGTAGGAAACCGAAATACGGTTACGCTATTCTTTAAGATATGTCATATGGACTAGCTAGTTTTCTATTTAGACCTTAAAATATGTTAAATAATATATGAGCTTATTTGATAGATTATTTAAAAAATATTATTCTGAAAAAATGTTTTAACTTGAGTTGAGTTAGTTAAATTAAATCGAATTAGATCATATTATGAAAATGTATTTGATAAAATATCTTTAAAATATATTAGAATTTGATAAAATGCTGAATAGCTGTTTTGATACATTTTTTTAAAAAGGTTTTTAAGACATAATAGTTGTTTGATATATTTTCTGAAAATATTTAGACTATTTTTTAACCCCCCATATTTGCTAATGTAGCTAAACACTCCCATAATAAAAGTTTAAAAATTAACTAAAGCATCCTAACTACCTAAGAGGACCGCTGTCAGAGGTTCTCAGAAGTCATTAGAACGGCTCACGACCAGCTGGATCTAGTCAATCGTGCTCTCACATGGTCGTTTTCGGCTAAATCTACAGTAGATCTAACAAGAAACAACTAGATCTACAGCTAGAATCTGGTAGTTGATAGCCATATTCTGGCTATTGACGACTAGATCTTTGGCAGTCGATAATGGCTAGATCTTGGCCAAATCTCTAGTCGTTTTCGGCCAAATTCAATCGATCTATGTCGTTCCAAGCCCACCGATGGCTGGTGATGGTTGCTAGCAGACGATGGTGGTCTTAGGTGGATTAATTTTCAGATTGGAAGAAGAGAAAAATGAGAGAGAGAATAATAAAGGAAGGAGATTTAGTTGAATTGAGTTGAAAAAACAAATCCCACCCTCTTGTCATTTTTAGACAAAAATTCTTAGCTAAGTTGGATTAATTTTCAGATTGGATTGACCCAATAAATAAACAAACACATATCTTATTTTTAAATCCAAATAAGATAACAGAATAACAATAGAGAACAGTGTATCTAACAGTTGCATAATTTTGGAACTAAAAATAAAGAGCTAGTTTAATACTATATTTAAATATATTTTTGAATTAAAAATTTAACTTTATTTTCTTTATGATTTATATTCACCATCTTACAATTTAAATCGTTGCCGTGGCTCTAGTCCCCGCTATAGCCAGTGCAAGACTAGATGTGCATATAGTCCTATACTGATATGGTGGATATATCTGTTGAGGTCGGAAACATGGCTGGACTTCCTCAAAGAATTCTATCTTTAATCTCCACATCACTTTAACACCTCCAATTTTCATTACAGCTCCTCATACCCAAAGAGCAACCTAGTTGTCTGTCTTATGTGATTGTCTAAGACGAGGCTTGTATTGGGACACAGTTACCAATCAATTCTGCTCTGTTGAGTTAAACCCTTCTAGTTTTGAGGAAGTCTGGCTGAAACTGAAGGACCCAGTTGATGCTAAACGCGCTTTGGAAATCTTTCACTGGTCAGTCCAATGGAAGCACTATAACACAACCTTTGGTCTTACTGTTCGATGATTCATATTTTGGTTGGAGCCCGGATGCTCATGCGTTGATTGAATCAGTTTTGAAGAAACATGTAGAGGATATATTGTTTGGTAATTATGAGGTTATGGACTCAAGTCCACTTGTGTTTTATAAGTTTTAATACTTTGATTCATGTTACAAAATTTGATTATATTGGATATGGGTGGGACACCCATGATGGGACCCACCCAATTTGAATAAATATTAAATGGATTGCGTTGTGGTAATTGTCATTGACAGTTTACCACTATCTCCGCCATTTAGTATAAGAGTTTGATTGAAAACTCTTAACAATCCTTCTGTACACAAAAATACTATTCTCTCTTTTATTTCACAAAGCAGTGAACGAGAAATACTTGGGTATCTACAAGAGATATTTATCCTGTAATATTATTTATTGCAATTCGTTAATTATGTTAATGTGATTGCAATGATAATTATGCTAATATGATCTTGAGATAGAAAGAGAATATTTGTTGTTCTTAGTTTTTCTAACAATTGTATCAGAGGCATTATTACGTTAAAGCATTCTACATATTATTAAATTCAGTTCTGAATTTTTCATTTTTTCAAGTCTGAAGAATTGTTTTCTGGTAATAATAATTAGATTATTAGATTTCTTGTGGACTTATGAAGATAATGGCTTTTGAATCACAAATAACTGATTTAAAATGGCTAAGTTATGGTCCTTTAAAGATTCGGATTCGTTTTATTTTCAGCCTTCAATATGACATGTCATTTGTATAAATAGTTGAAGTAATAAAACGTGGTTGTTGTGAATAAAGCCCAACTCCCTAACCATTGGGCTACAATTTGCTTTATGTTAGTCATTCTTGCAAATCCATAATATTTTAGCCTAGGCCCAACCCAAAACAAAATAAACACGGGTCAGGTTGAACCGAGTATTTGGCCCAAAACCTCAAACAAGTTAGTCAAACCCGATAAATGATCGACCGGGTCAACTGACCCGATAAATACCGAACCCATATGACCAAATGGGTTAGTCACACTTGGTCAAAGGTCAATCGGGTCACTTGACCTGGTCAACATCGACCCGCATGGTCAAACAAGTTGGCCAAACAAAGTCAACAGGTCAAACCAGGTCAAATTGACCCGATCAAAGGTGAAACGAGTTAAACCGACCCAAAGTTGAGGTGAGGCACATGCCGGCGCGTGGAGGGTTCTAAAGGTGTCATTTCCTTTTCTTTAAATAATAAAATGCATAATTGGTATGATTTTGCAAGTCTATTTTTAGTTATTGAGCCATAAACAAGTATAAATATATTATTTATCAAATATAGTTAACCTTTATTTGATAAATGAATAGATTTTTTTTTGTATTTGTTACAAAAAATGTTTAAGTTATAAACGTGCAATGGTTGCTAGAACACCTGCTCAGAAGGAAAGGGTTATAAATTTGATCAGAACTCTACAAACTCATACCTTAATATTAAGAGACACAAAAGATGAATTGGTGCAACTAGTAAATCATTTCATTCATGTGAATGAAAAGATATAGGAAATTGTCTAGAAGGGGGGATTAATTAGAGATGAGTTGAAATACAAAGTCTTTAGAAAGACTATTAATTACCTTAGTCTCGTTGGTATCTTTGATCTAGTTTGGAACAAGCTGAAAGTTCAAAACCCTAAAGATGACAATAAATATTATAGACATTTAGTCAACAACTACATCAAGGTATACATAGATTAGGGTGCTAGAAGAAACGGCTGGTGCATCTGTTGAATTCTCTACTTGTAAAGGACATCACAAGAAATTAGGAGTTCCTTTGCCTAAGATTACTTACAAGTCAGATAAAGACCTTAGGATAAGGCTTATCAAATCCTTCCTAGTTTATGGGATGTGGCATTACATTTAGTTTTTTTTTTTTTTTTTTTTTTTTTCAATGACATTTGTTTGTTTTAATGTCACTACATGTTGAATTCTATTTATGTAATGGAATTAGTTTTGTTTATTTATTTTTTTAATAAAAATTTGATTCTATATCTCAATATTATTTTAGAATTGCAATTAATTATATCTATGATAATTGGAGATTAGAATTTTGAATGAATTAAATATATGTATATTCCGAGTATTGAATAACATGCATTATCCAATGTGTAATTTTTTTAGAAATGACATTTGCATCTAAAAACATTGTCGCCAAAGTTAATAAAGGAGAAAAATTTAGTGATGAAAATTATGAGATATAGAGCATAAAATTTCAATATGTCTTGGAAGAACATGAGGTTCTTGAAGCTCTTACCACGATCATGGAAGAGCCTAAAGAAGGAGTCACGACTTAACATAGAAGAGACCGTGTGACTTATGACATGTGGAAG